AGGGAAGTGGGGATATTTTGTACATTAACCATGAAGAATAAAAAATGTATCGTGTGTGCTTTGGTCTCTTTTTTAAAATGTATAAGCCTTTAAAGCTGCTAAGTACACTTACTTAGAGCTTATAAATGTTCTTTAGTGTAATTGAAATATAGTAAACTTTGACAGAATTATTTGCTTCCTTTTACACTTTATTTGTAGTTTGAACTCCTAAATTTGTTGATATTGAAAAGCTTTGGGTACTGCATTTTAGAGGGTATACTAAGTTTCTATAGATGAGCTTTCTGGATTCTAAAATCTGTTTATATGCTGCAGTATCAAATGCTTAAATTATTAGAGGTGCCCATTAAATCCTTTTCTTTTTATTTTCATCTTGGTACAGCCAACAGCAATCAAAAGAAATGACTTTTTCTCTTGTTTTTTTTTTTTTTTTTTTTTTTTCAGTAGAAAGACCAGGTCTTTACTGCAAAATCATTCAAAAATCACACAACATGGCAGCAATTCCTTCAATACAAAGCACTTCTCAGGGCCGGGGCCCCACTGACTAGGAAAAGTTTATTACATAAAATAACATTATAAAATAGTGTGGGCACTACTGAGGTTCACATCAGCATTCCACTGTTGGGTAAGAGTCAACTCCTCTGAAAGCACTAGCAGCTTCTCAGTCATGATTACGGGGAGGGGGCAGCTCTAATGCTAATCCCACAGGTGGGGGAGGCCCCTCCAACCAGGGCCTCACCCCTACTGTCTCTTAGGGCACCTTCAGGGGCGGGGGGATATCCCCACAGGCCCAACGGGCCCAAGCCCACCCCGGGCCAGGCTCCTGCCCACTCTGGGATGGGGCAGTGCTGGCTCTGACCAGGTAGCGTTCGTGGTGAGCGTCAATGCGGGCTGTGGGGCTGGGGTGGGGATAAGGACGTGCCTGTGGGTTTAGGAGGCTGTGGGGCTGGGCACAGGTGCCACCATCCTCAGTGACAGGGAGGAGGAGCCGTGTGGTGCCTCCACCTGCCTGCCTGGCGCCTCCTCTCTTCTAGTGCACATTCTTCCAGCTCTTAGGGCTGGGTGGGTGACTCAGCAGCAGATCACCCCCAGGGAGGGGTGGGCAGGCTTATTTCTTGACAGTGACAGGCAGACTCCACCTGAGGCCTCCCACTCTTAAGCTGAGGACCCCAGGGCTGAGATGAGAGAGCTTGCTGGGTCCAGTGGTGGGTGGGCAGGTATGAGGCAACACAGGGAGCACAGGGACCACACCCCTCCCCCGAAAACCTCAAGGGTCTTAACTGTGCAAGCAATTCCAGGCTCCCGGCTTCAAGACCCCCCTCAAAAGGCAATCCTAGGCCATGGAAATTTCCCAGTGTCCGGCAGCACCCTGCTGGGCAAGTCCAGCGCAGCTTTGGGAATTGATGGCTTTGTAATACCGAGGCTGGGGCTGCTTCCTCAGGGTAGCTTCTTTGTCCGTCCCTGCACATCTCAGCAGTGGAAGAACCCGGTTACCTCTCCACAGTGCAGGGCTTGGCAGTCATGGCACCTGAGGCCAGCCCCTGCCTGGGCTTGCTGCCCTCTCTGGGGTCAGGAGGGCAGGGGCTGTGACCCTAGAGCCCACAGCAGGTGGGGCTGCAGCGTTGGTAGCACCGCCCTGCCCGTCTGCGGAGGAGTGAGGAGAGCAAGGGGCTGAGGGGTGGGCAAGGTGATGACCTTCCCTGAAAGAAGGTGCAAAGTGCTAACAGTGCTGGTTGAGTCATTTCTCCTCCTCCTGCTGGGACCAAGAGCCCAGGCTAGAGAAAAGCCAAAAAAGGGGATGGACCCTTCAGGTGAGGAGTGTGGGAGCAGGGAGGAAAGATGACACAGGGGGAGGAAGCAGGGGTCACCAGGCCTGGCCCCACCCTGCCAACGGGCAGTTTGGCACGTGGCAGTAGGGGTGAAAGAAAGGCACCCGGTCCAGCCGCTAGGCCCTGTCCAGCAGTGGCTCACCTGCCCAGCTACCTGCCGCCACCCAGCCAGGCCTGAGTGGCTCCTGCACATTTGCTCAGGGTGAGAATGCCTGGATTTCATGGGTGACTCGTGTAGGGTCAAGAATAAAAAAATATTTTCTGTTGCAATATGAAGGGGAAAAACCCACCTTAAAAAACTAGACCTTTTAATCAGGAACATGGAATTGAAAATGCTCCCAAGTCTCATTTCCACAGTGTTTGAACAGCCCTGATAGAGGTGCCATGATGGTGGTAACCAGGGCCTGGTTAGGAACAGGCCCTCGTCCACCCCCAGATGGACAGCATGTGGCAACCACCCCCCAGTAGATGGTAGCAGGGTGGCCCTGGGGCATCATCTGGGCATCCTGGGCTTTCTCTGGGAGGACTATGCTCTGGTCGCATCTGAGGGTCTTCCCACCAAGGGGACACAGCTGTGAGACTGCGCAACCCAGGCTGTTGACATGCACCCCCTGACCTCGGGTGGGGTCTGAAGGTGGGGATTAGGTGAGAACATTCTCTTCCTGCTACTTGCGCCAGTGGGCACAGCAGGGGCAGCCCTTCTTCACCATGGCCCGGCAGCTCTGGTGGAGGACGGTCTTGCACTCGGCACACCTGGCTGTGGTGTCAAATTCAAAGGGGAAGATAATGTGGTGGTGGCAGATCTGGCAAATGAAGCCACGCTGGGTCGACAGGTGGCAGTGGTAGACGTGCTGGGAGGCAAATTCGATCAGGGCCTTGAGGAATCCTTCATACACCCTTTCTGCGATCTGCTGGAGGTCAACAACACTGAACCTGTGGAGAGACTCCAAGAGATAATTCCTGTGGTTAAGCCAAACGGAGCAGGAGCGGGCGGGGGACACTCCTGGCCGCAGTAGCCCCTCAACCTCCGAGCCAACGTCCTCACGGCCACTGACTGCCTTTTTCTCTTGAAAAGAATCATATCAGGCCTCGAATGGTAACTCATGCCTGTAATCTTAGCACTCTGAGAGGCTGAGGAGGGAGGATCGCTTGAGGGCAGGAGTTGGAGAGTAGCCTGAGCAAGAGTGAGACCCTGTCTCTACTAAAAATAGAAAAAATTAGCCGGCCAACCAAAAATAGAAACAAAAAATTATCTGGGCATAGTGGCGAGTACCTGTCGTCCCAGCTACTTGGGAGGCTGAGGCAGGAGGATTGTTTGAGCCCAGGAGTTTGAGGTTACTGTGAGCTAGGCTAACGCCAAGGCACTCTAGCCTGGTAACAGAGCGAGCATCTGTCTCAAAAAATAATAATTTTTTAAAAATATAGTATTGTCACATAGTATGTTCAAAATATTTTCTTTTATAAAAATCTCAATTATAGGATTGCAGCAGACAGAGCCATAAGAATAACAGAGCACCAAGAAGACTCAGAGTAGCTAAAGCTTTTAACCATATCTGGGTCTAGTTATTTGTCTGAAAGTGAATTTGAGGGTTGGAGGCTTTCACTAAACAAGCAAGAAGTTTATGGATATCCCTTTAAGATTAGGAGCTTTCAAATAAGTAAATAAAACACATCTTCTTTTGTTGTCAGAGGAAGATATGTTAGGCTTGTGGAAAAGATGGTATTTATTATGAAATCCATGTGAGCTGTTAGAAGGCTATGTGACATAGTGGCATAGAAGAATGTTCTCAAAATGCCTAGTTTTACCAAAAGATAAACATAGCTTTAATAGCCCATTAATGAGTAATTCAAATAAGCCATGTAGGAAAAAAAAGAAATATACATAAAAGGGTGCCTAGGGCCATGAAACCTGTAACATTGGTATAAAGTAAACCAAGACTCACAGTCTATACAAAGCAATATGCAACACAATAAAAAACAATTGCCCCTCAAAAAATAAAGCAGATTAAAAATAAGACAATGTTAGTAAATGTGATTTTTGTGGGTAGGTTTAATAAAATGTACCACTGAATCATTTATACAAATTTCAGCTATTAAGATATTCATGGGCCCTGAGCCCATAAGCCCTAACATGTGTATTTTTTTTCCTGTATGGCTTGTTTGAATTATTCATCTAAGTAATGTACTCAAACTGGCTTAACAATAAGGAAATTTATTTCATGAGTTACCAGGGTGATTCCAGGCTCTTTACAATCAACAGCTCAATGATGCCATCAAAGTCCAACATTCTATCCAAAGTTCATTCTGTTATTGGTGTTGGCTTCTCCAGAAAGGCTGGGTCCTGTTAGGGTCATAAGATGGCTACTAGTGGCAATCAGAGCTACGTCTTTCCCTTTGGACTGGTTAAGCCAACTAATACCATTTACCATCTGCAGGTCAATGAAGCAGCAGGGGATTGGCTTAAATTAATCAGGATTCCCTATTGAATGTAGGATCATACCTGAAAAAAAAACATCAATGTCTCCTATAACTAGATAATGTTCATGAGCTGTTAGACTCTAGAATTATGAGGTATTAGGAAAATCTAAAGAGACAAATTGAAACAAAACTGCTTGGTAGAAAAAGAGTCTTTCCAAAGTAGAAAAAAAGGAATTTCCATTTATTGAGGACCTACATTTATTGAGGACAGCCCTTTACAAATAATATTTTACTTAATGTTACAATAACCCTGCAAGAGATGTACGAGTTCTATAGAAAGGGGACTAAGGCTCAAAGGATTTAAGCAGGAGTGTAAATTTTGTGTAAACCAAGTTCTCTCTTCTCCAAAGCTATGTTCTTCCATTTAATCATATAAGTAGGTAACAGACAAGACCAGAATGTTAGGGTGAGGAATTTACATAGTTTTTGAAATGTGATGTGCTGCCCAAATCCCTCTTTAGGGCCAAAAAAACTTAATCCTTCAGCTGCTGAAAGTACTCCTGGCAGACAGCCCTCAGCTGTCATTCCATGAGTATTGTGCTGCCTCAGCCGAAGAGAGCCACTTTACCCAAGGTCACACCATTTCCCAGGTATCCTGTATTCAGTATATCCTGTATTGCAGTATTAATATTGCTACATATTTCTTTTTCCATTGTGCATTATCTAGAATAAACTGCTCTAATTAAATAACATAAAGACAGGTAACTCTTAGCTTAAGAATATTTATTAAATGGATGACTTACAAGGATATTGATGAATAAATGTAAAATTTTTCTCTCAGTGAACATGAAGCTTTTACGTGTATAAGGTTTAGGTTCAATTTTATTTTTTAAAAAACGTTGCTGCCCATTTCAGATTATATCATAGCGTGTGAGGCACTGGTGAGGTTTATGTCACCAGAGATGCCCAGTTGTTTGATCTCCTGGAGATGTTTCATCCGATGATTGTACTGCAACAAGTGAGCATCATTGACTGCAACCTTGAAGTGGTCAGGTTCAACCAGTATTTGTATCTGAAAGAGCACATATACAAACTGTTATGTGAGGTACTGCACAGGTTAACTCAATTTAGCCATTCTACTACATCTACGTATTTTAAAAAATGTTGTATACGATAGAAACATACAATGTTTATTTGTCAATTTAAATAGGAAAAAAAAGAAATGCCCATTAATTTCAAACCAGTCTGGCCTGAGCTCAGGATGCAAACATTCCATCTTATTTTTTTGTTTTGTTTTCATTTTTGTTTTTTTGAGACAGAGTCTCACTATGTTGCCCAGGCTAGAGTGAGTGCCGTGGCATCAGTCTAGCTCACAGCAACCTCAAACTCCTGGGCTCAAGTGATCCTCCTGCCTCAGCCTCCCAAGTAGCTGGGACTACAGGCATGGGCCACCATGCCCAGCTAATTTTTTCTATATATATTAGTTGGCCAATTAATTTCTTTCTATAGTCAAAACGGGGTCTCGCTCTTGCTCAGGTTCATTTCGAACTCCTGACCTTGAGCAATCCGCCCGCCTGGACTTCCCAGAGTGCTAGGATTACAGGCGTGAGCCACCGCACCCCGCCAACATTCCATCTTTATCAGCGTTTGTGGAACTGAGTAATATCCAGAGAAAGTAACTTGACAACAAAAATAAACTCTAGATTATTCAAATATTTAAACAAAAAAAGATGAAGCAACAAAATTATTAGAATACATGTAAATGAAGCCATTAAGGAAAAGGTTAATAATTTGCCTACATAATAATTTGTATGGCCTAAAATATCTTAAGGTAAAAATTAAAATAAACACTAAAGGAGGATTCCCTGAGTGGCAAATGTTACAGAGACTGATAATAATCAGGTTTGGGGCCAGGCATGGTGGTCTATGCCTGTAATCCCTGCATTTTGGGAGGCTAAGGTGGGAGAATCACTAGAGCCCAGGAGTTGGAGACCAACCTGGACAACACTGCAAGAACCTATCTCTTAAAAAAAATATTAGTGTGGGCCGGGCGCAGTGGCTCACACCTGTAATCCTAGCACTCTGGGAGGCCGAGGCGGGCGGATTGCTCAAGGTCAGGAGTTCAAAACCAGCCTGAGCAAGAGAGAGACACCGTCTCTATTATAAATAGAAATTAATTGGCCAACTAATACATACAGAAAAAATTAGCCGGGCATAGTGGTGCATGCTTATAGTCCGAGCTACTCGGGAGGCTGGGGCAGTAGAATTGCTTGAGCCCAGGAGTTTGAGGTTGCTGTGAGCTAGGCTGATGCCACGGCACTCGCTCTAGCCTGGGCAACAAAGCTAGACTCTGTCTCAAAAAAATATATATTAGTGTGGCATGGTGGCTTGCACCTGTCATTCCAATTATTCAGGAGGCCTAGGTGGGAGGATTACTTGAGGGCAGGAGTTTGATGCTGCAGTTAGCTATGATTATGCCACTGCATTCCAGCCTGGATGACAGAGTGAGACCCTATCTGAAAGAAAGAAAATTTTCTAAAAAATCAGGTTTGGCAAGGGTAGGGGAGATAGACTCTTCCAATAGTTGGAAGATGACTACTGGAAACAGCAATTTGGCAATATTTTATCTAAATTTTAAACATGTATATTCTTTGAGGCAAAGATTCCTAGAAGATTTGTTCTAGGAAGCAAAGATTTATAAGGATGGTTATTATAATATTTTAATAAAATAAATCCAGGTTATTTGTTTAGAGTATTTCTATATCCAAATTTTTATCAGTAGGGTACTTATTAAATTATCACATATCTAAAAATGAAATGCTATTAATAATATTCTGATATGGAAAAATGTCCACCAAATGTAGAATATGGTCCTTATTTGTCCCTGCCCTTGAGGAGGTTACAGTCAGTTGTTTTTATTGACTACTCTATAGTCAATCCTAACTGAATGCTGCGCACCTAATAATGTTTGTTGAAGTAGTGCTTAAAAATAAAAGTGTGTTGTGTGTCAGAAAATACCAGGAAGATACTCATCGAATTGTAACTTTTGTTAAAATGGGGAAAGGGATAAAGGATGGGAGGCTTTTGCGATAATTAAAAAATCTATTAAGTCTTTCTTTTCATAAAACAAACAATTTTATAATTTAAAAAATTTAGTTTATACAACTGTATTAACTCCCCTTAAAAAAAAAAAAATTTAGTTTTGATTGCCATGCCAACTATGTTGTTTTAAGGAACAAAGTCTCTTTATATCATAAAGATTTTCTGCCTAGTGCTCGCTTCGGCAGCACCTTATACTAAAATTGGAACAATACAGAGAAGATTAGCATGGCCCCTGTGCAAAGATGACATGCAAATTTCATATTTTAATAAAAAATATCATATACCATTTAAAAAGACTTTCTGCCTATTTTATTAAAGATGATTTTTTTTCATTTCTAGGAAAGCTTAAACTCAGAGGGGTGGCAACAGGGATGATGGTGAGGTGGGTGCCTGAAAGGAATTGGGGAGTGTGCCACTCCTGGCCGTGTTCTCAGCCTGCTGTGCCTGGTTTCCTGGGGTGGGGAGGAGATATACTGGTTAGGTGCCCCAGGATGATAAAAATTCATTTCAAGTGCATTGTGGTTTTAGAGTGATTGCCCACAAAAAATACACATTGTCAATATATAATAGTAGCAATACTTACTTTAAATGGTTTACCACTTTCAAATGGGAAAACCATCTGCCTTTCTTCCTTTCCCCAGGTATTATCCACCTTTGTATTGCAAACAATGACTCTCCTGTTGTCCTCATTGAAGCGTGGGTTGAAGTGGAAGGCAACATCATTTCCTCTCTTGAAATCTAAGGCAATTCTGTTTTAAGCCAAAGACCAGAGTTAATAAAATAATTAAAGTTGTATTCTTACATCAAGTGAAGAACATAATATTCTAAAAAGCAAATAAGGCCGGGCGCTGTGGCTCACGCCTGTAATCCTAGCTCTTGGGAGGCCGAGGCGGGCGGATTGCTCAAGGTCAGGAGTTCAAAACCAGCCTGAGCAAGAGCGAGACCCCGTCTCTACTACAAATAGAAAGAAATTAATTGGCCAACTGATATATATATAAAAAATTAGCCGGGCATGGTGGCGCATGCCTGTAGTCCCAGCTACCCGGGAGGCTGAGGCAGAAGGATCACTCGAGCCCAGGAGTTTGAGGTTGCTGTGAGCTAGGCTGACGCCACGGCACTCACTCTAGCCTGGGCAACAAAGCGAGACTCTGTCTCAAAAAAAAAAAAAATAATAAAAATAAAAAAAAATAAAAAGCAAATAATTTCATAATACAGCATATAGAAAAATTTTCTGAACAGAAAGTAAACCAGAGAATGGGTTCAAACTGGAAAGTATACTAGGCCCAATATTGTGTCCTACCATAGAATTTGAAGGTGAGCAAGACACTATGTGTTGAATTTTTTTGCCTCGTTGTCTTTGATCACATCATTCCACTCAGCTGGGCAAATGCCCTCATTACAGACTCTACTTATGAAAACCCTTCAAGGTTTTTTTTACAGAGGTTTTTTTATTGAGCCTACTTTAAGGATACTTTATGTCTTACTATAGATAACGGTTATCTCTTTCCTGCCCTGCCAGGTTGCTTTTAAGACCTCTTAAAAGCTAGCCAGCTATATAACTAAGAGCTATCAAATACCTGGCTTCCTCATGCTTAACCAGAAACCTAGTTCCTCTAAAACATCAAGAATGAGATAATGCAGTTAATGTTCAGCATCCTGTTGCTAAGTTGTAGAGACATGACAATAAATGCGTTAAACATTCCATGATGTGAGATGGAACTAATGAAAGTACCATTTTAACTTTTTAACCTTGTTCCTTCTCAGATGTTAATACAAACACAAGTCCTCTTTGACTAACCCCATCCCTGAGTTTCTCAAAGTATGCTCCATAGAGCACTAACACCAGAATCAGCTGGCGTATTGTTTTAAAGCAAGGTCTACACTCCAGACTAACAATGATTGTATATTTTGATTCACCCAGCAATAGTCACGTTCAACTACAAGTGTAGTTTCCAATGATTAAATTCACAGGGAAAAATGGCAGTAGAATCTGTCTTTGACTACATAACTTTTGGCTATATTTCTCTTCATTGAAAAAGTAGATATTATCATCTCTGTCACCTGAAGCAATTTTTGTTTTTGAGTCAGAGTCTCACTTTGTTGTCTGGGCTAGAGTGCCATGGCTTCAGCCTAGCTCACAGCAACCTCAAACTCCTGGGCTCAAGCAATCCTCCTGCCTCAGCTTCCTGAGTAGCTGGGACTATAGGCATGTACCACTACACTTGGTTATTTTTTTTTTTTTCTTTTCTATTTTTAGTAGAGACAGGATCTCACTCTTGCTCGGGCTGGTCTCAAACTCCTGATCTCAAGCGATCCTCCTGCCTCAGCCTCCCAGAGTGCTAGAATTACAAGCATAAGCCACCACACCCAGCCCTTTAAGCACTTTTTCTTTTTTCATGCAATTCCTTATAGAATTTGCAGGACTAAGCAACAATGTTTTCAGCTTACTACTCTTAACCATATCAGGTTTTTATTTGTCACAGTCTCAGTCTCCATCTCTAGCATTATTTGAATTAAACTTTCCAGTGCAATGACCCTAATTAAGGCCAGGATACTGGTGTGGTTCTCTGTGTTAGGGGTTGTGGAGGAGAAGAGCAGATGTTAATGAATACTGACAAATCACGAGTGCTGTATGTACAGGGTAAGGTGTACAAAGTTCTACATTTTGTTGGGAGGAAGCATGCATATAGACAGAGGCAGAGGATATATATATTTCGTAATTTCCTGTGAGATGAGCTTTATTATGCAGGAGAGTACTGTGCTTAGAGAAGTTGGCTAGGCTATGTGGAAAGAAGGGTTGGCTCAGGGTGGTAAGCACCATGCAAAACCAGAGGAGGCTGGCTGGAGGTGCAGTGGATGGGCTATTCGTGTAAAATTGTCAGATCAGAAGCTGGTGACAGGATGTGGCTCCTGTTAATTCATCAGGAGCAAGGTGACAAGACACAGAGGCGGTTTATGGATTCTTGAATAAACCTGTACATGGCTTGAATTTGTATGTTTTATGTACTGTCTATAAGACCCAGAGACATAGACCATGAATGGCTGCAGGAGCTTTAGTGGTTCCACTAACCTCAGGGACAGGCACACCAGATAGATTCAGGACATTCAGCCTCTTTGTATTATATGTAAGGACTGCATATCCAGTGGTGACAACCAGGGCAGGGTGTCCCAGGATAGCCATAAATAAATCCTCACCCCATCCTAGCCCACCTTGGCCAAATCAGTCAAAATGGCAAAGGCTGATTTATTTTGATGAACTTTTTTAGCTTGTAGAATTTCCTCAAATTCTTTAAGCAAATAGAGTCTACTCAGAAATCTGGGGTTCTCAGGCCTGCCACTTATCATATGTAGAACCTGAACCCCAGTTTTGCTGACAAAAAGGAGATAGCAATTTTGCTCACCCAGCCTTCAACCATGAAATTTAACTTATAGAATACATACCAAAATATAGAATAGAATGTGTTACCATTTACTGTGACCCTAGCACTTAGATTATGTGGGAACATGTATCGATTTATGAGATAACCCCATATGAGAATATAGACAAGATTCTAAATATGAAATTTAAAAAATTGTATTGAAATTCAAAATAGGCTATTCTTTCTTCAAAACCCAATCAACAAAAATGTTAGGCTTGTTAATTTTGCTCTCTTTACCTGTTTGCATTGGGCTTCACTGTGCCCAGAATTGTTATCAGCATGCGAGGCATGACTCCTCCAGGCAAATGTAGGTCATAAGGCACAGTCTGGGAATAAACAAGTATGCATATATCAATAAGGAGTCGTGCTTTCTTGGGGAAAGAAAGAAAATGATGTTGCTGAAGTTCAATCACTATGAATACACGTCAAAAACACATAACGCTTGTTTAAGCCATCAGTCCAGACTCTCAGGCCATCTTGCTCAGGGCCTGGAGAGACTAGGCTACATACATGCACAAATAATAATAGAAAATAATGCTGTCTGTTAATTGGTCCCCAAAACAGAAAATGATCTTTTGGAACACTGTAACTCTCATCCCTAGGGCCATCCCTATCTACGACTCATTTATGTAGACTTTTCTTTGAAAGGCTTAAGCTAGACCTTGCAGTCAACATTGACATTTTTGTGCCACTGCTAAGACCTTTGTCACACAACACACTTCACTGTGGTTACTCTGCTCCCTGAGGGTAGGCATTGTGTCACATTCTGAGGCTTCTGGATTCTCATACGCTCTGGATGCTGTACTCACACAGCAACAGCAGAGTACTTTGTATGTGGCAGATAGTCAATATTTAGAGAATGAACACTTTTTAGTTAAAACTGTATAGTTCATTCCACAAATATTTATTGGCCATCTATGTTCAAGGTGCAGTGAATATCCCCAAAGCTCTACCTGTGGCCTCTTCACTTTCTTTTTATGTTTCCTCCTGTGTTCAAGTGTAACCCAAGTCTTTGATCTCCAGCCCTGATCTGCACTAGTCCTGTACTTCCTCCTATCTGGGTTTGCTACTAGTTCCTCAAATGCAACAGGTGTGAACTGGAATTGTCTCCCCTGCCCCTCCCAATCAGTTCCCTTTCCTGAATTCCTAGTTTAGGCTAAAATTTTGCTGGTGCTCTAGTTGCCCCACCTAGAAAAGCCAGAGTCATTTCTGATTCGTAAGGGGTAATCACTAGCTCCTGGGGTTTTTTCTCTGCAATCTCTCTCACATCTGCCTGTTCCTTTCCATAGCCTTCAAGTCTCCCTCTGTCTGCAACTACCATATCTGGTCTAGGCCCAGCTCAATGCCACCCTCTTCCCCCAAGGCTTTCTCTGAGGTCTCCTCTCAACTGACCTAAAAGGAGATGACACTGCTTTGTGCCACCTTCTGTGTAGTCATGAAATGGTCTAATGCCACACTGTTTTTTTAAGCTCTTTCCTCGTATTTATATGTTGTCTCCAAACTAGTCTGAAAGGGAAGGATCTGGGACTGAGATGTGTCTGGATCCCCCACAGAGTTATGTTTTACATTTAGAATTCGCTTACTAAAATGGGTTTTAATTTGCATGAAAATTCACTCCTTAGGTCACAAATTATCTTTAGAAGGTTTTTTATTATTTTATTTTATCATATTATAAGGGTACAAATATTGTTAGGGTTACATATATTGCCCCTGCCATTCCTTCCCCTGCCCCCCGTTTAGAAGGTTTTTGAAAGCCAGATTACTTTGGTTCCTCCACAAGTTCACTCAATGACTCTGAGCAAGTCATCTAACTTCTCTATTGCCCCATTTCCTCATGTGGAAAAGGAGAATAGTAACACTATCTTATGGAGCGGTAGTGGGGTTAAATGAGATAATCCAGGTAGAGGCATACTGCTAGCACATGTTATGTACTCAGAAAAGTGTTTGTTAAGAATAACCAAAACTTGGCTGGGCGAGGTAGCTCACGTGGCTGTAATCCTAGCACTCTGGGAGGCCGAGGCAGGCGGATTGCTCGAAGTCAGAAGTTTGAAACCAGCCTGAGCAAGAGCGAGACCCCGTCTCTACTATAAATAGAAAGAAATTAACTGGGCAACTAATATATGTAGAAAAAATTAGCTGGACATGGTGGCGCATGCCTGTAGTCCCGGCTGAGGCAGGAGGATTGCTTGAGCCCAGGAGTTTGAGGTTTCTGTGAGCTAGGCTGACGCCACGACACTCACTTCTAGCCTGGGCAACAAAAAGTGAGACTCTGTCTCAAAAAAAAAAAAAAAAGAATAATCAAAACTTTCCCCCATTACTACAATCTTAACTTCATTTCTATTACGGCAGCTTTATCAATGCCTTCACAAGATACATTACCTTCTCTCTTTTAATTTGCACACACAATAAACTCAATATGAACACTTATTTTTTTTCTATTGGGCCAACATACACCCATGGCTTGTCCTTGAAGTGGCTCTAAGTGGCTTCTTTAAAGCTATGGGTCTCCCTGAAGCCCTCTGTGCACCAAGTACATGAAAAGATTCCATCTTACCAGTGGTCCAGCAGGGCTGCCATAGGGGCCAGCAGCAGGGTAGGCTCCTGGAGCACTGGGCTGTGCAGGAGGTGGGTAGGCCCCAGGCCCTCCTGGTTGCCCCGGGTAGCCTCCAGGTGCAGGTGGTCCAGGATAAGCTCCAGGTGCTGTAGGGCCAGGGTAGGCACCAGGAGGCCCCTGCCCAGGATAAGCCCCTGGGGGTGCCTGCCCAGGATAAGCCCCTGGGGGTGCCTGCCCAGGGTAGGCCCCAGGATAGGAGGCACCTGGGTAGCCCCCTGCCCCAGGAGGTGGGTTCCCCCATGAGCCAGGCCATCCTTGAGGGTTTGGCTTTCCAGACCCAGATAAGGCATCATTAAGCTGGAAAGAAAGACATAAGCAATTACAAGATAGAAAACATTCACAAAAACAGAATTTTCAGGAAAACAGAAATATATGTTCTAAGAAACAGAGGAATATGATGAAGGTATGAAATTCATATCAGTAAGCATTAATCCACCAAATAATAGTTTTGACTAAAGTTAGACTTTGGGATTATATATGCTTTTTCATGTTATTCTTGCCGCCCATCATCTCAGATCCTGGGGATGCATTTTTGTAACTTGCTCAAGTCAGGAGCTACCTCTCCTCTACCTTCAGCACACACTTTCTACTCAACATGGGAAAAACAATCACAAACATCGGGACGCTCACATTGCATGTCTCTTCCTGCTGCTCAGAGGATATCTTAGCTCCTGCCAGCAGAGTTCACTCTTTTCTGTTCTGGGCCTTTTGCTGAAAGGGTTACTGTCAGGAAGCCCTAGGCCTCTCTCTGCCTGGCTTCCTTCTCAAATCTGCTGCTTGAAACAAGGCTCCAGCTAACAAGCCCTCAATTCAACAAGTGAAACCAAAGGAAGCTATGCAGTGGGAAAGGGAAAGCTGTGATAAAAACAAGACCCCCAACCCCTCAACATATGTGTGATGTATCTGAGGGGAAGAAAACAAACAGAAAACACTTACCGAAAAACTGTCTGCCATTTTCCTGAGGGGAAAAAAAGAGAGAGAGATTATCATTTGGTCCTGAAAGATTTCACTTAAATTGAGCATCACCACTATTTCATTGGACAGTTCTAGTCAATCTACAGGCATTAATGCCTAAGTCAATCCTGTGGAACCATAAAAACAACTCACCAAGGGGTGGTGATGCTTTCTAGCTAGGTTACCAAACTCTATTTAACTCATGAATTTCAACTTTGATCACACCAGCCTGTGTTCTGAATCTCGAGAGTAAGAGGCCATACAATGCATCAGGGAGGAGGAGGAGGAGGAGGAGGAAAATGTTCTGCCCCCTTCCTAGGTAAGAAATATAAACAATCATGGTTTATCTTTGGCTCTCCCTCACCTGCCTTCCTGCACTCTTTCCACCACCCTTACCAAGGGCTTGGTGTGTTAGTATTGCCCACCTCCCCTCTGTTTGTGAAGAGCCGCACTCAGGTTTGTGAAGGAAAGCAGTGTTGACTGACTCCTGCTGAGATAGGAAAGGCAAGGACCTCCAGACATAGCTGCTGCTCCATTATTTATTCCTACATTTACACACAGTTATGCCTTCTCTGGGCCAGGTGGTTTGTCAGCTCCTGTTCGGGTGTAAAGATAAACAGATCTGTATGGTCAAAGGGCCCACAGTCCAGCAGGGCAGCTGCTGCAGGGGCTCCTGTGGCGAAGGAAGGAGGGCAGCTTCTGGCTTCTGCTTCCTAAGCTCAGGATCACCTATGCTATGGCCAAAATTACCTTCACCTTGAAATGATCAGAATCTCTTTCTCCTTGATTTGTCCATTTGTGACATTTACTCAGTAATTTTAAACAATGGCATTGCCCCCAAGGGGTCCAATAAGTATCAACTACTTGATAGGTTCTAAAAATGCAAAATATTAAATTTCATAAAAACTCAAACAGGCAGAGTTACTGCTAGGACTTACTCTGTGCATCATTTACACACAGCAGATATACGGATTTAGTATCACTTATTTGAAATGCTTAGGAACAGAAGTGCTTTGGATCTCAATATTTTTTTTTAATTTTGGTATATTGGCATATACCTAGTTAAGCATTCCTAAATCTGAAAATCCAAAATGCTCCAAAGAGCATTTCTTCTCTTTTTTTTTTTTTTTTTTTTTGAGACAGAGTCTTGCTCTGTTGCCCAGGCTAGAGTGCCATGGTGTCAGCCTAGCTCATAGCAACCTCAAACTCCTGGGCTCAAGAGATCCTCCTGCCTCAGCCTCCCGAGTAGCTGGGACTACAGGCATGCGCCACCATGCCCAGCTAATATTTTTCTATTTTTTAGTTATTTTTTTCTATTTTTAGTAGAGCCAGCATCTTGCTCTCGTTGACGCTAGTCTTGAACTCCTAAGCTCAAGTGATCTTCCCACCTTGGCCTCCCAGAATGCTAGGATTACAGGCGTAAGCCACTGCACCAGAATATTGCTCTGTCATCCCAGCTAGAGTGCAGTGGTATCATCACAGCTCACAGCAACCTCAAACTCCTGGGCTCAAGTGATCCCCCTGCCTCAGCTCCCCAAGTAATTGAGACTATAGGTGTGTGCCACCAACCCTGGCTAATTTTTTCTATTTTTAATTTTTTTTTTTTTTTTGAGACACAGTCTCACTCTGTTGCCCAGGCTAGATTGCCATGGCAACACCTAGCTCACAGCAACCTCAAACTCCTGGGCTCAAGCAATCTTCCTGCCTCAGTCTCCCGAATAGCTGGGACTACAGGCATGTGCCATCAGGCCCAGCTAATTTTTATTTGGCCAATTAATTTATTTCTATTTTTAGTAGAGACAGGGTCTCGCTCTGGCTCAGGCTGGTTTCGAACTCCTGACCTTGAGTGGTCCTCTGGCCTCGGCCTCTCAAAGTGCTAGGATTACAGGCATGAGCCACTGCGCCCAGCCATTGTTTTTCTATTTTTAGTAGAGATGGGGTCTCACTGTTGCTCAGGCTGGTCTTGAACTCCTGGCCTTAAACAATCCGCCTAAACTCAGCCTTCCGGAGTGCTAGCATTACAGGTGTGAGCCACCACACCTGGCCTAAAGACCATTTCTTTAGAGCATAACTTTTGAGCATCATGTAGGCATGCAAAAAGTTTTAAATTTTTGAGCATTTCAGATTTTGAATTTTCGGATTAGGAATGCCCGACCTGTACTCTAATTCTGTATTATATCACAAACATTATCTTTGACTAAAATTTTTTTTTTTTTTTGCACATCTCTTTTTTGACCTAGGCAATCTCAGACCTATTTGGAAGCAGTTAGGTTATGACCATGCCCATCTTCCAAGGTGGGGAACTGCTGGCAGTTTCACAGGGAAGTCACAGTGACTCCTGTGACTCCCAGAGCTTATGACACCTTCCATTCACTGTATTTCCTATAGTACTTGACTTTTTAAAGCAAAAGTAGGGGGTTCCCCAGTAGGAAACCATGCTGCTAATGCAGGCAAAACTCAAGAGAAAAGTTGTCATAGAAAAGGTAAAGAAAGGAAATTTCTTAAGAAAATCAAGCCTCTCTCATTTTGGATGTCAAGTAGGAAACAATCTTGAACTTCAGGGTGGGCAGAGAATTTAGGTCTGTGGATTACATATACCTCTTCCACCCCTGGGCAACATACCAAAGACCCAGCAATAACATTATAAACATTTTGACTTCTTTATAAATAAATATGCCCGTTGCATAGGAGCTTATTGTCAACCTCAGTACCATTGACACTTCAGGTCGCATATTATATCATGCATCGCTGTCCTGTGCATTGTAGGATGTTTAGCAGCATTTCTAGCTTCAATAAATAAGATGCCAGTAGTACACCACCCTCCAACTTATGACAACCAGAAATTTCTTCAGCTATTGCCAAATATCCCCTGGGAGCAAAATCATGCCTGGTTTAGGACTACCAGTCAAGCTAGTTAGCACACGTATCCCTACATAAATGTACAGACACAGGTCAATAAAAACAAAAAGTAGTTTCAATTCTTTAAACTAGCTAAATTTTTTTTATTTCAGCATATTATGGGGGTACAAATGTTAAGGTTACGTGTATTGCCCATGACCCCCCTCCCCCCTAAACTAGCTAAATTTGTACTCTTTGCCTTATAAAGTGTCTTAATATAACGCCAATCAAATTAAGATGTGTTTAAAGGCTGATTACAACCAAAAACTCACAGAGGGCATTTCTACAATTTAACATTTGTTCTTTTCAAAGCTCAAGCATGTTTATTTTCCAATGCAACCAAGTAAAATTTGAGAAACAAAGCAGATTTCACTGTATTTCCACTGTTTCACACAATGCTTTGTAGGACAATTTGGATTGTGTCTGGACACATTAGACAAGCCCACTAGAACACTACCACCTGGTATTTACGTGGTGCTTTTCAGTTTACAAAGCATTCTCACATGCCTTATCTATTCTAATTCTAATGACAATCTTATGAGAGTAACAAGACAAAATTAATAGTTCCCCATTATCGCCATTATTCGCAGTTCCCCATTATCTACAGTTTCAGTTACTCAAGGTCAATTGGGTTCTGAAAATATTAGATGGAAAATTCCAGAAATAAACAATTCATAATTTTTAAATTATGTGCCATTCTAAGAAGCATAATGAGGTCTTAGACTGTCCAGTCCAATCTGCCTAGGAGGTGAATCATCATCCCCTTTGTCCAGCATATACCTGCTGTAGATGTTCCCCCACCCATTACTCACTTAGTAGCAGGCTTGATTATCAGATACAAAAAATAGTACATATAGAGTTCAGTGCCATCTGGAGTTTCAGGCATCCACTGGGGCGTCTCAGTACACATCCCCTGAGGATAAAGGGGGTGGGGAGGCTACTGTATTCCCACCATAAAGCAGAGGAAACTGAGGCTCAAAAAACTAATGTGGTGGCTGACAGTCTTCCTGTCATTAGGAGATCAAGGATTAGAGCCCAAGTCTCCTGACTCCTAATTCAGGCTTATTCTACCCTAATATAAAACCTCACATTTTGAAATTTTAAAGTATAGTCCTTTGAAAGTGTTAATTACTACATTGAAAAAATTAATTCTCTGGCTTATTCATCCAGAACTACATAACATACTGAAATCGTAAACAAAAAACAAGATCAGGCCTGGCGCGGTGGCTCATGCCTGTAATCCTAGCACTCTGGGAAGCCGAGGCAGGAGGATTGCTCCAGGTCAGAAGTTTGAAACCAGCCTGAGCAAGAGCGAGACCCCGTCTCTACTATAAATAGAAATAAATTAATTGGCCAACTAATACGTATATAGAAAAAATTAGCCAGGCATGGTGGCACATGCCTATAGTCCCAGCTACTTGGGAGGCTGAGGCAGCAGGATTGCTTGAGCCCATGAGTTTGAGGTTGCTGTGAGCTAGGCTGATGCCATGGCACTCACTCTAGCCTGGGCGACAAAGCAAGACTCTGTCTCAAAAAAAAAAAAAACAAGATCATGTTTTTGTCAGAAAACTAACTGGGTGACTCATTCAGTGCACGGTGATGTTGAATAAAGGATGCCATTTTGCACAGTCACTTTGCTAATTATAACCACATTTTAACCAATAATGTGTACTTTTCCAAATATTGGGTCTGCGCTGTTTTGATTATGTCAACTCCCAACCATCAAATTTCTTTTTTGAAAAGGGTTATAGACGATGCTCTTTTGAAAGCAACCTCAAAACTTTAGGGAAAACAAAAAAGACATCTACTCAGATAAATATCTTCCTTACTTGCCCGAAAAAAATTTTCCCCCTTTTCTGATGAGTAGTTTATAGAGAGACTCATACAAAATCAAATGTAAAAAATCTTCCAACTCTACAGATACTAGATATGTGAATTCCATCTTGGTATTCCCAGAATCGGAGGATTTTGAAGAGCCAGAATGAAATAGAAAAATGAAAACATTTCATCAAAGATAATCTAGAAAAATAATACCTGGGTCTCCACATTTGGAAACACCTACAGGAAATAGGTCTGTATAGCTTTAGAAAAAGGAATTTAAACATGAGTTAAAATGTAGACCATTTTAATTGACTATTAATTGGTAGCTTTTTTCTTTAATACAGAATAGCTATCCATTGCACTATACTATTCTACACCCACCAAGCAATCAATCCAGTTGTCTTGGTTCCCAGGAATACTTCTGAAATTTCTGCTCATACAGAGCCTGACCTTCACACAAGCTGTGATGGAAATTTCCTGAACTCCTGGGCACTACCCTACACTAGTCTCCAAAGAACACAAGACAGGCAGTCAACTTCCTGCCCTTACTGAAACATAGAGCAGGGCTTGAGGAAAGTCCTCTTTCCAAAGAAAAATTCAGTGATGCTCAGTTGGGATAAATAAGAGCAGTCCTTTTCTAAGATTTCTTTCTCATAGTTCCTTGGCATCAAGAAAGATAAAGTTACTTTGTGCCTCTCAGTTACTGATTTTTTTCCCCTATGGAAAAGCTGAACAGCAGTCAAGAGAGAACACATGATACTTAGTCAGCAGCAAACTGGAAGTATACAGCAAACATTGCGTTAGCTGGCTCTTCAGTTACCCACTCAGAATTTAATGAGAAGAACCAGTTCAGGCACTAGACACAAAGAGCTACCCAGCTGTCTCCAATGGGAGCCTGCCTGTGTCCCAAACAATCACAGGAAAGAAAGATTATGTTTTAGTTTGGTTACCATGAATCTCAGATACGTAAGTTTATAAGCCAATTGCTATTTAAGGTCATCCTGAGATTCTCAAATTATACTATATGAATATAGGTCTCTGTTGCAATGAAGATTTAGAGTCTGGATAATAAGGGTTCTAGGCTAATAGGTACCTAAATTATAGATGAGATCAACATTGGCCTCTTGACGTCACTAGCAATAAGCAAAAAAACTTTCTAAAGCACCTATGCATATTTAGAGCACAGTTAACTATCATTGATTAAGGACCCCTCAAAAGAGCAAGACTCGCCTGCTCTACCGGAACACAACTAGCTTTGAGTAGCTTTGGGGATCAGTCCATAGAGCAGTACTCCTCTTCTGCATCTTTTTTTCTTCTTCCCGAGACAAAGTCTCACTATGTCACCTAGGCAAGAGAGCTGTGGCTCATCATTGCCCACTGCAGCCTCAAACTCCTGGCCTCAAGTGATCTTCCTGCTTCAGCCTTCTAGCACACGCCATAGTGCCTCGCTAATTTTTCTATTTTCAGTAGAGACGGGTTTCACTCTTTCTCAGGCTGGTCTCGAACTCCTGAGCTCAAGGGATCCTCCCGCTTCAGCATCCCAGAGTGCTAGGACTGATTACAGGTGTGAGCCACTGCACCTGGCCTCTCTTCTGTTTCTTATGTAACTTAGAGGCCTAACACTTCTAAGCTCTAAACAGGACCAACATCAAAGGACCAACATGATGTTGAAGGACCAACATCAAACTTCACCCCGGAATATGGAATAAGTGCTGACTTTAAATATAACCCCCAAATGTTATGAATTTAGGAAGCAGCTCCAGTCCCCTGAAGATCAAGGATAAAGCATGACCATTCTTGGAATGACAGACCCTACTCTAAGGATTCAAAGTCAATGTCTAAAAAGGAGACTGTTGCTATAGAGAAGTAAATTTTCATTATTAAAGTTTAACTTTTATGAAAACACACAATTTCCTTCCATGAAAAGTTTATAAACCTGAGGCAAACAAATCAGAATTTTCAAAATTGATGAAATGCTCTGTGCCCAAGTGGTTAATTTGATCACCATCATTTTCTTCAGAATTGATTGAGCCTGTCTGCCATTCCTTCCCCAGAATCCTAGAAACAATGTACACTGAGGTCCAGGCGTCCTCATTGTCTGGCAACCCAACTCCCAGGAGTCGCTTTGCAAATATTCCACAGTATCTGGAATAGGAGTCGCCAACTTTAAGGGTTAGGCTGAAGCCTAAGTCACAGCCTCCACCCATGTGTCTCTAGCCCCCTGGCACTGAGCTCCTACTCTTCAGAGTGCAGTCGTTTTAGTGTTTCTTTCATCTGAGCAACGGATAACTCAGAACAAACCCTCAAATATGCTTTAAAAGCCCCAACCACACACCCAGGGCTCTGCACACTGGGACCAACATTCTGCCACACCTGACACTTCCTCAGCATAGACCTGAGATCATTATTGCCCCAGTTAGCCTGTCTGGGCAGAGATGAGCGCTTGATTTGCAAAAGCTTAGCGTTTGCAGTCTTTGCTAAGCCGGGCACATGCCACTCAGGCCTTGGGGCAGCCCCGTTTTCTGTGGGGTCAGCATTCAGAGGGCAGCTGCAGCCCCTGCCGCCGCTGGACCTGGTGAAAGAACTGGTTCGCGCTCCACAGCAAGGTCTCCAAACGAAGCCTCAACAGACGCCCCAAAGTGGCTGGGCCAGCCAAGTCATGGGTCCCAGAGGCACCCTACAGAGACCTCAGGAAGTACCCCTCAATTTCCCTCACCGCCCCCAGCCCCGCCGCATGTTCTGGGGAAGGGTGACCGCGTTCCTAATACCAAACTAGACTGGTGCTTGGTTTGGTTCGCGAGCCCATCCACCGTCCCCTCGCACCGGGACCTAGCCCGCCCGGAGGTGGCTCTTCGTGGGTTCGCGCCTACTCCGCGTCCCTGAAGCGCCGCTGGCAAGGGCGAGACGGCGGCTGCGCGGTGCCTGGCCCGGCTCCCGCAGGCAGACCCGACGTCCCGGGACGCGTCTGTCAGTCCTGTGAGGCGTCGCTAACTTTCCCGATCTCAGAACCCTCGAGAATCTCAGCCAGAGCTGCCTGCGGCCCGCACGCGCCCTCCGCCCGCGGGGGCCCGGACGCGGTCAGCCAAGCCTCTCCCGGGGCGCGCCGGCCCCCTCCCCCGTTCCCGGCTCCCGCTCACCACAGTCGGCGCGCGGCAACGGACGGCTGCTGGCGGGGTGTGCGGGCGCCGGCGGGTGCGGCTCTGCCCTCAAGTACGCCGGCCGCCGGCCGCCTCCCGGCGGGGCCGCGCCTGCCGCCGGCCGCTCCGACCCGGCGGCACAGCCGCGCCGCCGCGGCAGGGCGCCAGGGACGCTCCTGACTGGGGCCCGCGAGGGCGGCGCGCCCCTGCCGCCCCCTGCCGCCGGACGTGAGCTGTGGCGCCTGCCCGCCGCCCTCTCCCCAGAGTCTCGGGATGACTTATGAGAGGAGAGCCCAGAGCCCGCGAGGCTGCTCCTACTGTGTGCCGCTTTGGGGCGCTGGGCGGGGCGTTACTTCCTTGCTTGTTTTAACCGCGTTTGCTTATTTTCTGCCTGAGTCGCAGCAGTCTCATCCCTTCTCCACTTACTTTACCCAAAGCCTTTCCCAGAAGTGCACAGTGACATGAGAGGTCCTTGTCAAGTGTTCTGAGGTGCTGGATGAGATGCTCCCATGGTCTTGTCCTCATATCCATCCCTTTCTGACTGTGCGGTGGGACACTTCTCTCAGACTGAAAGCCCTAAGTTGTTTTGCTGTTTTCTCCCCAAGGCACCCTCAGCATCTACCCAGCATTTGGTGCCTGGTAAGTTCTCAATATATATATAACATATATTTAACATATATGTTAAATGAATGAATGAATGAAAGAATTAAAAAAAAATGAATGAATGAATGAATCACTTCCTAGGAAGTCTGTTTTCTCAAAGGCTGGGGAGAGTCCTTCTAAGGAGGAAATAGTTAAATCTCAGCACCTTTGGTAAAGGCAGGAATAAGACAAATATGACTGCATGAAAGGTTGTTCCAACAAATAGCAGTGCTTGCAGGAGAGGTGCTATTCGTTTGGTAGCATTTAGCTGGGTAATGACTGAGTGAAATGGTTAAGGATGTCCAAGATGGATTTATTGAAAGTTCAGGTAATAATAATAACAGCTAATGTTCAAGAACTTATTAAGTGCCTGTACTATGCTTAATACTTTATATACATATATGGGGTAGGTATTTTTATTCCAATTTTAGAGATGAGAAAACATAGGCACAGAGAATTAGATATGACCAAGATCATAACATAGATCAAAGTTGAAAGTATATCAGTGTCCAAGAAATATGCCTTTGGAAATGGGATATTCAACTGACAGAGGAAAAAAAAAAAAACGAAGGAAGGAAGGAAGGAAGGAAGGAAGGAAGGAAGGAAGGAAGGAAGGAAGGAAGGAAGAAAGGAAGGGAGAAAGGGAAGGCAGGCAGGCAGGCAAGGACATCAACAATAGGCCACTAAGAGTTGTTAGATTCAGCAAAAGGTGGTAGGGGTCATTCAGAAATGGGAAGAATAACTGCCCACAAGGTGCAATTATCTGTGGAAGAACTGAGGAGCTGAGTTGTTCTTTGAACTCTAACATTGCAATGCTGAGGAACAGTTTCTTTTCCCAAACTCGGGTTCTGTGTCTGGCTGCTAGCATCTGTGAGAGAAGCCTGTGTCTGCTAGAACTGATATGTCTGGGAGTTGGTGGGTTTTTGGCTGGAGGAGGAAGGGATTTGGTGCCAGAGAATGGAGTAAGAACAAAGGACCAGGGAAGGGATGTCATAACCAATCTTGGTCTAGCCTCTTTTCCTGCATTGGAGCCCCGGGGAGAGCAGAATGGAGCTATCTTTGTGAACAGCTTTGAGAGAAGCTGCATTTAGGCCTCAGTGGCAAAATAAGCCCTTAGGTGTGAGGCAGCCCTTCTTCTCCCTTCTGCACACAGGCCATGGTTGTGCTGGCTCTTGGCAGACTTCCAGATGTTAGCACTCTTACCAGGGAGGACAGCTGGCAGTGCCACTAGGAGGTTCCCTCAAATAGGTAACGAACATTTCCCAAGGGGTGTGGAAGCAGAGGAGCAGGGACATGGCAGACATTGCAGCTGACACACTTGTTTGTTAGCACAGAGAGGCTCCGCTTAGGCCACTGGGGCAGGGTGCACACTGAGCAGGAGAGGGGCTGGGGAGGGACCCTGCTCATGCGGGAACAGTAGACTGTGGGAAGCCTATAAATAACCTCAGTGGGCCAAAGGAGGCCTCGCTGGAATCGGCCAATGGGGGGTTGTGATGCAACTTTGTGATGTAGTTACACACATTCTGTGTTTTGGGCAATGGGTGAACTCAGAAAACCAAAATGGAAAATGGAAATGTGGTATAATCTCATTGATACAATGTGATTGAAGGCTGGTAATTAATGGAAAGTCTGAATTATATTTTACCAAATATGAAATAAGGCACATGGTTTTAAAACATGTAATTTTTTTAAAAAGGTATGAGAGTTTCCGATACAGGGAACAGCCAGTGTGAGATGCTAAGTCAGGAGTGAGGCTTGCATGTGGAGAGGAACAGTTGGGGGCCCTTTGGTGGGGGGGCATTGAGCTGGATGTGGTGGTGCACACCTGTAATCCCAGCTGCTCAGCAGGCTGAAGCAGGAGGATCACTAGAGACAAGCCTCGGCAACATAGTGAGACCCCCCAGCTCAAAAAAAAAAGGATGATTCACAATGGGCTGCAATGTTCCTGTGAATTTAGAAATTATATTAAGTGACCCACGTATCCTGATAATCTTGGCTACTTAGGATCAATCCTATGATGTCAGAGAACAAAAATATGTAATATATAAAACTGTATTGCTACTAAGAAAAAATTAAAGAAGGAAGCAAACATTTTAATTTAGAGTTTAACTCTGACCTTCCTTCCTATCACCCTCCTCCTTGCTGATATACCCCCACCGTAGGGCCCCCCAACTGTTCCTCTCCACACCGAGCCTCACTCCTGACTTAGCATCCCACACTGGCTGTTCCCTGTATCTGAGACTCTCTTCTCCCATTATCTCCTAACCCTCCTACCTCCTTCAAGTCTTTCCTTGATTGACACCTTCTCTATGAGTCAGCTCTTTCCACCTTATTCCAACTCATCCTCTTTCCACAGCATTTATCAATTTCCTGTATCCTATAGAATTTACTTATTTGCTACATCTGCTGTTTATCATTGGTGCATCCCTGCCTTTTTCCCACTCCCCTCCCAGAAGGCAGAGTTCTTTGCTGTATTATTCACTGATGGATCCATGTGACGCATAGTAGGCACTCAATAAATATTTGCTAAATTAATCAATTCATGGTATGATCATGGGAGAAAAATCCTGTGGGCTAATTGATTTTGTCCTTTTCAATGCTTTTCCGTCTAGTTAACTATGTAATGTCCATTAAAGAGGATAAGAAATTTCATGAGCAAAGAATTCAATTAATAGGTTGTTACCTTTGTAAAATGCAAAAGCAAAACCAAACCAAACCCTTTTTAATGTCTATTCCCTAGGGAACTGACTAAAAATTGATGCTTATTTTTGATCAATAGACATAGATAAGTATTATTGTCTCATTTTTACTCTCAGAGCACTACAGTCTGAATGTTTGTGTCCCCTCCCCCCCAAATTCACATGTTGAAAGTAAAGGCCCCACATTAGGAAGTAGGGCCTTTAGGAGGTGATTAGGTCATGGGGGCAGAGCCCTCATGAATGAGATTAGTCCCCTTACACAACAGGTCCAAGAGAGATCCCTTGCCCCTTCTACCACATGAGGACACAGTGAGAAGTTCCCCTCTGTGAACCAGAAAGCAGACCCTCAGCAGACACCAAATCTGCTGCTCTTGATCTTAAATTTCCCAGCCTCCAGCACCAGGAGAAATACATTTCTGTTGTTTACAAGCTACCCAGTTTATGGTAATTTGTTATAGCAGCTTGAACAGACTAAGACACAGGGAAATTAAGTTGCTTATCCAACTTAATTTGTGTCTAGCAATAGAATTCAAAAGTCTTGATTCTTACAACTAGACTAGTGTCTAGACTAGTGTCTAGAAAAACACTGAGCAGAAGAATCCTTACAGGACAGGCTTATGTAAACTATGGAGGAAACCAGATGTCATCTGGTTCCTAAATAATTCCTGTACTCCCTACAATAACCAATTAATTAATATTGTAAAGATGAATTATTTCCACCATTAGTTTTCCACCACAGGAGGAAAATGTCCATGCAAAAGACTCATTGGATGGAATTGAGAAGCTGTCTTGGCATTCTCTAGGATAACTTTGAAAATGCCTTAGTAGCTAGTACTGTTCTTGCATCGTTGTCCCCTCTAAGCTGGCTCACAGAAGTCACAGTGTGGCTGGGGATTAATTATGAAAATAGAAGCTCTTCTCTGAAGAGGGATCCTGGCAATCAATTTACTTAAATGGATCATCACAGTAAATGACTAACCTGGGGTTATTAAAAAGGAGTTACCGACAGGAATGCCCTTTGCGTCTTAGGAAAATACTATAAATCTTTAGCCTTTGAGTCATGAGGCCACATGGCCAGGCGTGGTACCCTTAGAGAGTTAGCCACTGGTAATAAGAAAAACGGATAGACCAATGGGTTGCTATGGAGTCAAGGGATGAGTCACTCTCTTGCCTTTACTCCTAGTAATCTTTGGTCACTTCACGGATAGATAAACCTCGTGCCCTTGCTATTTAGTGCGTTTACTCAGACCTAATCATCTGATCGGACATCCTTTTCGCTTACTTCCTCACTTGCACATCCCCATGAGCCATTTGATGTTAACTTCATGCCCCATAAAGCTAACGAAAAGCTCTTGCTATGATCAAGGTGTGCTTGGGACTTTATAATTTGTACACATGCAGTAAATGGTTCATTACTACCCAACCCAAAACCCTATAGCTCTTCTAATATAAGTGTAAAATATAATGTAATAAAATCATTGAATAACTTCTATGTACAGATCATTGTTCTATTTGAAATAAAAGAGAAGCCCCGTACTAGCTCTCAAGCAATAGGTTGGCTTGTTTCAACCAATTCAGAAAGCCCCTGGATAAAAGGAACTTCAGCTAGAGAGAGCCAGGAGAGAGTAGATGAAGATAAGAGCAATAAGAAAAAGTTTTCAAAGGTGAGCAAAAAAGGAAAGAAAGAAAGAAAGAAAGAAAGAAAGAAAGAAAGAAAGAAAGAAAGAAAGAAAGAAAGAAA